GTACCCCAGAGATTCTCTTATTCGTGCTTGTTCGTTGTAAAAAAGTTTCTACGTTTTTCTAAGAAAAAAAGAAACTTAGAAACAATGTACTTAGAAAAGTTTTTCTAAGTACATTGCAGTATATACTCCTCTCTCTAAGGCAGTCTGGGAGGATCGAGTCCTTTGTAACTAAGTTGATGGAATTACATGTTACAGATGGGAAGGGAAAGGCGGGGACCAAGAGCTCGATCCTGCAGGCCAGACACACACACGATAACTACCTACAAAATTCTCAGGGGAATTGACAGGGTGGACAAAGACAAACTATTTACCAAACAATTAAGGTTACACAGGTGGCAACTGAGTACCCAAATGAGCCACAGGGACGAAGGTTACACAGGTGGCAACTGAGTACCCAAATGAGCCACAGGGACGTTAGAAAGTACTTTTTCATTTTCATAGTTGACAGATGGAATGGATTAGGCAGTGATGTGGTGGAGGCAGACTCCATACACAGTTTCAAATGTAGATATGATAGAGCCCAGTAGGCTCAGGAACCTGTACACCAGTTGACTGACAATTGAGGCGGGACCAAAGAGCCAGAGCTCAACAACTAGGTTAGTCTACATCACAGGAATATAGTTCTCCCTCACTACTGTGTAGCTTCCATCTTCTGACGCCTCCTGTGTGAAAATTCCCTACCGCTGTTACACAGATACTTAATCTCTTATCCAATTGTTCTAATCTCCAGTGTAAAAACAAAGCCATTACTGTCAACGGAGAAGCCTCTGGCAGAGCCGATATGTCACCCTCCTCCCCCCTCCACTACCCAACCGCTCAGGGGGAACTGCCAAAGAGACAAATGACGCAAGGATGGTACTTATTTTCCAGAGATGTTTATGTTTGGAAATAACCCGGGACGAATGATACTCCGACGGTACATATTTTCCAGATATATTTATGTTTGGAAATAGCCTTAGACGAATGGTACTCCAACGGTACATATTTTCCAGAGATGTTTATGTATGTAAATAACCCGGGACGAATGATACTCCAACGGTACTTATTTTCCAGAGATGTTTATGTTTGTAAATAACCCGGGACGAATGATTCTCCAACGGTACATATTTTCCAGAGATGTTTATGTTTGTAAATAACCCGGGACGAATGATTCTCCAACGGTACTTATTTTCCAGAGATGTTTATGTTTGGAAATAGCCTTAGACGAATGATACTCCAGCGGTACTTATTTTCCAGCACCATGGCGATTATTATCGAAGACTGTGTGACATACATGCGGCTCCCCACTCCAGAAGCGACAGACAAGTGTAGTAAACACAAAAGATGAAAATTAGTTAAAAAGGTACTTGTGTAAAGGAGGAAATGTATATGTTTATCTCTCAGAATGTTTGGTAATATGTTTATTGCTTGTGATGTGTGTCTATGTATGTATTAACACGATGTACTGAACGGGGTGAGAATAGCTTGAGCTACCTCATCCCTTTGTGTGTATTTTACCTCAATAAACTTATTTCAATTTCAATTTCAGTTAGAAAGGTGGCGTCCAAGAGCTAATTAAGAGTTATTACTTTCTCATACAATTCTATTGAAAACAAATAATTTTCCTGAGGTAACGCAGTAAGAAAATGTGAGAGGGTCAGTAGAGGTCCCGGGTAGACTTAGGTAGATAGTCGTAGGACTTGGGTAGATACTCGAAGGACTTGAGAGGGCTAGACAGTCGGGGGACTTGAGGGGGACTTGGGTAGATACTCGTCGGACTAGAGGGGACCAGGGGTAGATAAGCGGTATGACAGCCCAAGGGGCTCAGAAGCCAGTACACCAGAGGGGTAGATAAGCAACACCCACCAGCAGAGTCACTAAGATAAGAGATAACCTCAAGATAACCATATTCACCCAAAATCAACCAAGAATCATGGATCATCTATGAGCCTCGTTCAAGTCGCCCTCCGATGCCTTGACTAATCCTTTTTAATCACCTCTAATCTCGCCATAAGGTGGGGGGGGGGATGATTTACGGAGCCCAATCACGCCGAAGCTAACAACCACGGCGGGTTTTCAGGGCTACAGCGCCCTGTGATTGGTGTTTGCCGGCGATTTACAGCCACGTATAATGGCGGTCAAGGTCGCCCTGGCCGCCTGATCGACCCTTTGGGTGGTAAGAACCTAATGACCCTGGTTGAGCACCCTCAATGTAGTTACTTAGCGTGTGTAGGTGAGGATGGTGTATCCGGCTGTGCCCGGGTCTCTTTCCCGTCTCGCCCTCTCCCCCCCCCCTCTCTCTCTCTCTCTCTCTCTCTCTCTCTCTCTCACACACACCTCGGGAGCCTCGCGGCTGAGTGGATAGCGCTGCGAGGTCGTAGTCCTCATGGTCCGGGTTCGATTCCCGGCGGAGGAGGAGACAAATGGGTTAAGGTCGGGTCCACCCCCTTAGGGAGGGGGGGGGGCTTACTCAGGATGCAACCCCACGAGAGTTGACTAACTCCCGGGTACCAATTTGCTGCTAGGTGATCAGAGGCATCAGGTGAAAGGAAATGTGACCATTTCTAATTCTGTATATAGGGATCGAATACGGGTTCTGAATCCATGTTATCCTGTATTACATCCGTTCTAGAGGGAGGGGGGGGGGGATGGAGGGGATAGGGGAGTTACCCGGCGTCGCCCGGGAGCCGAAGACACACAACTTCACTACACACACACACTATCTTCAACACTGTTAACTTATCTCCGCTAATCACGACTATCCTCATCACTGGAACCTTCTTCATTGAATATACTGTTGCAGATGGGGTGGCGCCGGGCCCCTCTATCTACATTCATCATTATCATCAACATTATCATCATTATCATCATCATCACTATCATCATCATCATTATCATCATCATCATCACTACCCTTTTCTACGTCATCACCTGCTTTTACTTTGTTCTCATTTCTTCTCCTTCGTCATCTTCCCTTCATCACCTTAATTACTCTTAATTACTCCCTCCCCCTCTCCTCCACAACCTTTCGTAACCTTTACCAACTGTCTTGCCCATCACCACCTTCCCTATCCATCGCAACTGCTATTTAATGAGATTAAAAATTAATTTAATTTACCAGGGGGTGGGGGGGGGTCAACCCCGATCCGCCTATGACTATCCCACACTAAACTCCAGTCACCATGCAAAGTTTAATGAGACAAGCCGTAAGTGTACCTACCCCCAACCTCGAACAAGCATAGATTGATTGATTGATGAAGATTAAGCCACCCAAGAGGTGGCACGGGCATGAATAGCCCCGTAATCGAACAAGCGGTAAGACATTATATTTTATAGATACATCTGACTACTTTTTAAGGAAGGAAGGGGGACACATGACACAGAAAGGAACATAACGAGGGGACACATGACACAGGAAACAGAACGAAGCGTAAATTAAATCTTGAAGTTCAAATGAATCAGGGAAGGGAAGAGAGGCTTTTGCAGGGGTGAACAAATTGAGTACGTTAGAATGGAGGCTGACTCTATACATGAGAGAGAGAGAGAGAGAGAGAGAGAGAGAGAGAGAGAGAGAGAGAGAGAGAGAGAGAGAGAGAGAGAGAGAGAGAGAGAGAGAGAGAGAGAAAGAGAGAGAGAGAGAGAGAGAGAGAGAGAGAGGAGTATAATTAAACTATATAAAAATTATGTTTCAGACTGAAGGTCAGATGCTTGTCGCTAGTCACACCCAATTTCTCTGGGTGACACATTGGTGGTAGGGGACTGTGACAGGCAGGTCGGGGTGGGCCCCATTGCTCCCCTTGCAATAGGATCGGTTTCTATTGCAGCTCCAATGAAGACCGAAATATGGGTTAGGTTTTCCGTAGAGTTTCAGTTTGTTTCCCCACGAGCTCGGTGTAACACGCACCTACAAAATACATCCATTCACTCGGACTGGTCGGTCCAACCACTTATGCTGGACAACAGAGCGACGGTCTCGCTTCATGCAGGTCGGCGTTCAATCCCCGACCGTCCACAAGTAGTTGGGTACCATTCCTTCCCCGCCGTCCCATCCCAAATCCTGATCCCTTCCCAATGCTTTAGAGTCGCAAAGGCTTGGCGCTTTCTCCTGATAGTTCCCTTCCCTTCGAACTGGTCGGTACAGTGGCGGACTGGCTTCTTTCAGGTCGGAGATCGATCCCCCGCGGTATGGTCCGATGAGTTGAGGAGCCCCGGTCTTACTCTACTTCCTCACCACACAGTTCCTTGTGCCAGTTAAGTCCACTACGGGGCTCACCATAGCCCGTGCTACTTGGCACTTGTTCCGAGTAGCTGAATCTATAACAACAACAACAACAGGCATACTGGCTGGGGGGGGGGGGTTACCGCCTCCTCGTTACGTTAACTATCATTAAGCGCCAGTGTAATTGTTTCCCGGAAGTGGTCATAGCGTTATGGTTATCTTGAGATCTATCTTGAGGTTATCTTGAGATGATTTCGGGGCTTTAGTGTCCCCGCGGCCCGGTCCTCGACCAGGCCTCCACCCCCAGGAAGCAGCCCGTGACAGCTGACTAACTCCCGGGTACCTATTTACTGCTAGGTAACAGGGGCATTCAGGATGAAGAAACTTTGCCCATTTGTTTCTGCCTCGTGCGGGAATCGAACCCGCGCCACAGAATTACGAGTCCTGCGCGCTATCCACCAGGCTACCAGGCCCCTCATCCACCAGGCTACGAGGCCCCTCGTAGTTTTTTATAGTTTTTTTTATTATTTAAATCTCGTTATACAATTCCGGTTCAATTGTATTATGTGTCTTTGTTCATTATTCTGTTTGAATACCGTCCAGGTGGCTCGCTCTGTTATGCCCCTCTTCCAGTTTCTCTCTCCTCTTTCCCTCTTCTCTTCTACTATCAGCCTCCTTCTTCTTCTTATCTCCTCGTCTCTCCCCCCTCTTTTCCTTCCTTCCTTCTTTCCTCTTCCATCCATCTCTTGACACCATTCTGCTGGCCACAACAGTCAGTTTGGTCTCCCCTGGCAGCACACACTTAGCCATCTGCTACAGGGAGATCGTAGCCATCTGGTTCAGGGAGATCGTAGCCATCTGCTACAAGGAGATCGTAGCCATCTGCTACAAGGAGATCGTAGCCATCTGGTACAAGAAGATCGTAGCCATCTGCTACAGGAAGATCGTAGCCATCTCCTACAGGAAGATCGTAGCCATCTGCTACAAGGAGATCGTAGCCATCTGCTACAGGAAGATCGTAGCCATCTGCTGCAGGAAGATCGTAGCCATCTGCTACAAGAAGATCGTAGCCATCTGCTACTGGGAGATCGTAGCCATATGCTACAAGAAGATCGTAGCCATCTGCTACTGGGAGATCGTAGCCATATGCTACAAGAAGATCGTAGCCATCTGCTGCAGGAAGATCGTAGCCATCTGCTACAAGAAGATCGTAGCCATCTGCTACTGGGAGATCGTAGCCATCTGCTACAGGAAGATCGTAGCCATCTGCTACAAGAAGATCGTAGCCATCTGCTACTGGGAGATCGTAGCCATCTGCTACAAGAAGATCGTAGCCATCTGCTACAGGAAGATCGTAGCCATCTGCTACTGGGAGATCGTAGCCATCTGCTACAGGAAGATCGTAGCCATCTGCTACAGGAAGATCGTAGCCATCTGTTACAAGAAGATCGTAGCCATCTTGCTACAGGAAGATCGTAGCGATCGTCGAAGCAGTGCGGCCAGAAAAAGACTTCTCGAACCATCTAGCAGCTGGTTCCCCTCCTCGAAGTTCCACCTCAAGACAGCTGGAACTCGAAGGAAGGGGGGAGGTTAATTTCATCTGGTTACATTGAATGGACAGAAGCTTTTGGGGACGAAAGGTCCACAGCTTATTCTCAAGCTTTAAATGGGTGAGGTGCGGAGATTGCTTCAATGGTGAAGCTTCGGCGACGGATCCGAGGGTTCGGAACTACCGTTGAGGGTCGAACCGAGCGTCGAGTTAATGAACCTGAGTGAATTCTTACTTTTCCCAGTTTCATAGTAATGTGAGGTATGTTACAGTGACGTGAGGTATGTTACAGTGACGTGAGGTATGTTACAGTGACGTGAGGTATGTTACAGTGACGTGAGGTATGTTACAGTGACGTGAGGTATGTTACATAGTGATGTGAGGTATGTTACAGTGATGTGAGGTATGTTACAGTGACGTGAGGTATGTTACATAGTGATGTGAGGTATGTTACAGTGACGTGAGGTATGTTACAGTGACGTGAGTTATGTTACAGTGACGTGAGGTATGTTACAGTGATGTGAAGTATGTTACAGTGATGTGAGTTATGTTACAGTGATGTGAGTTATGTTACAGTGACGTGAGTTATGTTACAGTGACGTGAGGTATGTTACAGTGACGTGAGGTATGTTACAGTGACGTGAGGTATGTTTCAGTGACGTGAGGTATGTTACAGTGACGTGAGGTATGTTACAGTGACGTGAGGTATGTTACATAGTGATGTGAGGTATGTTAGAGAGTGATGTGAGGTATGTGAATAGATGTGGCGCCAGAGTATACAAGTGGTAATGAAATACTAGTCAGCAGCTGGTGTAAACTCCCAGAGGGATACTTGTAGCCGAGCCTAGGCCTACCAGTAGTGACGACTAGAAAAGTATACCGAGTTTACTGAATCATGTAATCATGAGTTTACTGAATCAAGAGCCACAGATTCGTCAACCCGTTCTCACACTTGCTTACAGTCAATATAGGCTTATTTAATAAGTGCATATGTGACATACTAATTGATTGTGAATATTTTAGTTTACCTTGAAAAGCTTCATAGAAAACACCGACCTCACCTAACCTTCTTAGTATGTTAAGATAAGCATCTTATTGCTTCTTATTTAGGGAGTTGAGTGCAATCAGGCTGACAGAGGCAATTACTGGGGCAACTTTGGATACATGTACTCGTCTGAGTGCAGCAAGAGTGGAGAAGGTGAGTAGCTAGAGTTCCCAGTTATAATAATAATTATAATAATTCATTGTGTCGGAGGGACAGGAAGCCAGAGTGTATACATACACGTTAATCTTATATCGAGGGTCTTCCCCCCCCCCCCCCCTCCAAGGTTGAATTACTGACCACGCTCAGGATGCAACCCCTCAACAAGCTGACTAACTCCTGATTACCTACTCACTGCTAGGTGAACAGGTGCATTAGGTGCACGGAAATATATGGCTTGAAATATTTCAAGTGTGGGTAGCATAGGGAGCCGGTCGGCCGAGCGGACAGCACGCTGGACTTGTGATCCTGTGGTCCCGGGTTCGATCCCAGGCACCGGCAAGAAACAATGGGCAGAGTTTCTTTCACCCTATGCCCCTGTTACCTAGCAGTAAAATAGGTACCTGGGTGTTAGTCAGCTGTCACGGGCTGCTTCCTGAGGGTGGAGGCCTGGTCGAGGACCGGGCCGCGGGGACACTAAAAAAGCCCCGAAATCATCTCAAGATAACCTCAAGATAGCATATACTTGCTTCAAGTGTGCCTAGTATACATTATACATTTTCTTCAGTAAAAAAAAAAAATTAAATATACAAATTCTTTGGGAATGACAAAGCATAACAAAACTATTCCAAACTCTCCACCACTATAGGACTCGGCGCCATGCAAAAATAATTACCAAAACTTTGAGCCCATAATTGCGAAAACTCGGCAGCCGAAATTACGAAAATTTCCCGGTTCGAAATTACGAAAATTCGTGGATGGGATTTATTTTTAATTCACGGTTATGAGAATTGGAGCCGCAACTTGGTATAACTAATTATTACAGACACAATAAGAGTTGTATTCTTTTTGCTGTCCCTGAGAGGGGTTCGCATCCCGTCTGGTGAAATTAGACCGGTGATATTGGATATTTGAGCTGAGTTCTTGCTGTTATTCCAACTTGGTGTTGAGGCTGTGAGGTGATGTGTTCCTCTCTCTCTCTCTCTCCCTCTCCCTCCCTCCCTCCCTCTCTCTCTCTCTCTCTCTCTCTCTCTCTCTCCTACGTGTTGTCCGCCTGTGACTCTGGCAGAGAGCATCGAAGCGTCGAAACATCAGACCACTTCAGGAAGACAAACACGGAACCTGTCTTGAGTCCCCCCTTCCAGAGGTCGCCCGGAGAGTCATAAAACAGAAAACGAATCATCCTTAACAAATAAAGTTCCACGTGGGCCTTTGAGATTTCCTAGAGGGTGTCAGGGGGGAAAAGGGGCCACATAGAGCATTTAATCCAAGAAGGGTGTGGTTAGGGGGTGAATCAGGGGAAGGGGGAAAGGGTGACTTCTCCAGCCACACCCTACACACTCAGCTTCGGAGTGTATTTATTATTTATTTGTTAAATCTCTGAAGATATTTGACATGTTCTCTGTCTGGCTTTCTTGTACCACACAAGACTCGCTTGACGAACTGTCTCCTTAACGACACAGCTGGTCGTTGGGCAGTGGACGAGCGGCATATGCTCAAACTGCGCTCTGGAGGTGTAATTGCTCGTTTGGGAGGTCAGTGAACGGTCGTCGCCAATTCTCGTGGATCGTGCTTCAGCAGGCACTCAATTTGGTTTTATGGCTTTTGGCACGTCAGTGTCTCTCCCGGATTTTGTTGTAATATATCTTTGTGACTTGTGTGTGTGTCAGGTGTAGTGGGAGTGCTTGTCTCAGGGTACATGTATACTGTATACTGTGGTCCAGAGTGGTGTGTGTGTGTGTGTGTGTGTGTGTGTGTGTGTGTGTGTGTGTGTGTGTGTGTGTGTGTGTACTCACCTAGTTGTGCTTGCGGGGGTTGAGCTCTGCTCTTTCGGGGTTGAGCTCTGCTCTTTCGGCCCGCCTCTCAACTGTCAACCAATCAATTGTAACTAACTACTAACTAATTACCCCCCCCCCTCCACACACACACACCCAGGAAGCAGCCCGTGACAGCTGACTAACTCCCAGGTACATATTTACTGCTAGGTAACAGGAGCATCAGGGGGAAAGAAATTCTGCCCATTTGGTTTCTGCCATCAACCTAGGATTACGAGTCCAGAGTGCTGTCCACTCAGCTTTCAGGCCCCTAGATAACTGAGTGTGTGTGTGTGTGTGTGTGTGTGTGTAGAGTTACTGTGGTCAATTAACCTCTGGAGGGTTATTAACGTCTCTCAACTCCCCTTGGACAAAATTTCAACGCCAATTAATTTTCTAAGGGTTAATAAAAACCTCTCAAACTCTAGTGACTTATTAAGACATATGAACCTCTGGAGGGTTATTTGGACCTATCAACCTCTGGAGGGTTATTAAAACCTATCACATATTGACGGGTGAATGTAACCTATCCCCCACCGGATGGTTATTACCCCCCCCCCACCACCACCCCCTCCTCACCAAACAAGATTATTTTTATCGTACATACAGTTCATTTACATTTACGAAAGTAAACTATCGACTCACGGATACCCAGAAGCTGGTTTACACTCGTCTGTCGCTGGGTAAATATCCAAAGACTTTCATAGTCTTCCGGTGGAGACTATGTTCTCACTTGGGGTAACCTTGAGGTGCTTCCGGGGCTTAGCGTCCCCGCGGCCCGGTCGTCGACCAGGCCTCTTGGTTGCTGGACTGATCAACCAGTCCAGAACAGAACAGCAGAATAGTTACCTTCTGTTCTTAGCGTGGAGCCCTCCTTGGAGGAGCCCTCCTGAAGGAGCCCTCCTGAAGGAGCCCTCCTTGGAGGAGCCCTCCTGAAGGAGCCCTCCTGGAGGAGCCCTCCTGAAGGAGCCCTCCTGAAGGAGCCCTCCTTGGAGGAGCCCTCCTGAAGGAGCCCTCCTTGGAGGATCCCTCCTGAAGGAGCCCTTCTGTAGGAGCCCTCCTTGGAGGAGCCCTTCAGAAAGAAAGGAGGCCCCCCTCTCCTCCCTGAAGGGCTCCTCTCAGGGAGAGAAGAGGAGCCTAAACCTCCTCTCAGTAAGCCTCCTCTGAAGACGCTGCCCCCTGGCATATGCCGCCTCTGAGACCCAGAGGAATCAGAGGCGGCCTCTGAGTCCTCTGGGACTCAGAGGACTCAGAGGTGAGTCCTCTGAGTCCATAGCAGCTCCGTCACTGTCTCCAGCCTGGACCAGGACGTGCTCCACTCCTATACAAGCTTCTCCTTAAGCCTCTGGTTAATGGATTTTTTATGTAAAGGACGCTGAGGGCCGAGTTTGGTGATAGGGACCAATAATTTATGGAAGACAAGACACGGAACTGGGATTATTATGGAACTGGTGTGGCCCCCCCTACAGCACACCCACGCTAAGCCTTCTTCTATATACCTACCAGCGTTACGCTGGCGCCGCAGGTACTCGCTACAAGAGCTGCGAGCTACAAGGCCATCGAGCTGGTGGTTGGTACTACGGGTCGCTGCAGTTGTTTGAACAACACTGTGGGCTGAGGGTGAAGAGGGGGATATCATAGTCCAGCCTGTTACTCCTTCCTCTCTCTCTCTCTCTCCCGGCCCCTAGTACAATGTTTGATCATTATCTCTCCATATGGGACTAATGGAATATCTCGCTCCTGGAAGTGAAGGTTCAGAGGAAGGGCTTCTGGCCCTGATACTGGAAGTGTAGGCTCAGAGGAAGGGCTTCTGGACCTGATACTGGAAGTGTAGGCTCAGAGGAAGGGCTTCTGGACCTGATACTGGAAGTGTAGGCTCAGAGGAAGGGCTTCTGGCCCTGATACTGGAGGTATAGGCTCAGAGGAAGGGCTTCTGGCCCTGATACTGGAGGTATAGGCTCAGAGGAAGGGCTTCTGGCCCTGATACTGGAAGTATAGGCTCAGAGGAAGGGCTTCTGGCCCTGATACTGGAGGTATAGGCTCAGAGGAAGGGCTTCTGGCCCTGATACTGGAAGTATAAGCTCAGAGGAAGGGCTTCTGGACCTGATACTGGAAGTGTAGGCTCAGAGGAAGGGCTTCTGGACCTGATACTGGAAGTGTAGGCTCAGAGGAAGGGCTTCTGGACCTGATACTGGAAGTATAGGCTCAGAGGAAGGGCTTCTGGCCCTGATACTGGAGGTATAGGCTCAGAGGAAGGGCTTCTGGACCTGATACTGGAAGTGTAGGCTCAGAGGAAGGGCTTCTGGCCCTGATACTGGAGGTATAGGCTCAGAGGAAGGGCTTCTGGCCCTGATACTGGAAGTATAGGCTCAGAGGAAGGGCTTCTGGCCCTGATACTGGAAGTATAGGCTCAGAGGAAGGGCTTCTGGCCCTGATACTGGAGGTGTAGGCTCAGAGGAAGGGCTTCTGGACCTGATACTGGAAGTGTAGGCTCAGAGGAAGGGCTTCTGGACCTGATACTGGAAGTATAGGGTCAGAGGAAGGGCTTCTGGACCTGATACTGGAAGTGTAGGCTCAGAGGAAGGGCTTCTGGACCTGATACTGGAAGTATAAGCTCAGAGGAAGGGCTTCTGGCCCTGATACTGGAAGTATAGGCTCAGAGGAAGGGCTTCTGGACCTGATACTGGAAGTGTAGGCTCAGAGGAAGGGCTTCTGGACCTGATACTGGAAGTGTAGGCTCAGAGGAAGGGCTTCTGGACCTGATACTGGAGGTGTAGGCTCAGAGGAAGGGCTTCTGGACGGGATACTGTCAGCGGCCGGTGCTGATCTCTGGCGTCAACTGGACGACAACTTCTGTGAGTCGTGTAAATCCTTCACAACAGCAATATTATGATATTCTTTAATGTTAAAAGTTATATATATACATTTTAATCACATGTTTGATTGGAAAGAATATGACGATAAATCTACCATACTGACATTGTTATCATCTAGCAATACTGTTTAATTGATGTATTGTTAGAAATCACAATGATTTCCGAGGGTGTATATTTGCTGGGTGTATTTCTGCTGGGAGTATACCTGCTGGGAGTATAACTGCTGGGAGTATACCTGCTGGAAGTATACCTGCTGAGGGGTAAGGTAGTGTGGATACCTCGCGAAGGTTACCGAACTAAGCTCATCACGAGACTGTGTACAATTAACACCTCTCCCTCACCACCATCACAATCATCACCACACCCCTCTTCACCATTACAATCAGCATCATCAGTCACCATGAACCCAATCACCATCATTATGGCCACACTATCCTCATCATAACAACGCTATTCAACTTCTTTTAAAACAAATGGTCTGTTCCTCAACACCTGAGCGTGTTCAAGGATACACACATATATATATATATCCCAAGCGCATGGTGAACAAAGGTGCATCAGATGAAAGGAAACATGTTGCAAACACCTCAGTTCTGCCGCGGGCATCGAACCTGGTGAGACTTTTGGGTTGGGAGTGTACTGGGCAAACCACTATGCTACGTCGTGATTTGCACCCGATTTGTTTTTTTTATTGTTGATTATAAGCATTAGTTGATATTATTATTTGTTTGTTTGTATAGACAGATGAGCTGCGCAAGCGTCAGGACAAGTGAGGTGTGAGAGGCACTCACGAGGCAGGACTCATGTGAGCACACAGCACGCTGTGACAGACAGACACAACAAAGGTGGAAGCCGTTGTTGCCTGTGGTGTGGAAGAGCTGGCCAAAGGATAGCCGCTATCCTTCGGTCTCCCGCTATCCGATAGCGGGAGACTGGTTCTCTTCCATCTCGTAAATACAACTCACTCGTAAATCACAAATATATTCTTTCTACCTACATTTTCCCCGTCGAAAACTGCGTTATTTATTTGGTCCGTCCTGGACCATTCTCAAGTCACTTGGGAATGGTCCAGGACGGATCGAAACGTCGTCGTCCCTTCAATTTCTAGTGTGTGGTCTGGTCAACATACTTCAGCCACGTTATTGTGACTCATCGCCTGCGTTATTTACTTGTTGGCAACGCGTATCTGACGTCAGCGTCATATATGAGTTGCGTATACGTCGGAGAGGTCGTGTACCGGATAACGACAGCGCAGGTCAGCCGCTTGTCGTTACCAACGACCTATCGGGTGATGTGCTGGCTTGTCAAGGTTTAATTAAAGAAACCAATTAAAACAAAGCTGTGACGCACAAACTAGGCTGTTGTGGTAATCATTGCTGTATCATGGAGGGTGGCGGTGGTGGTGCTCCATGTGGCCAACATATATATAGCTCCAACATGGCTATGTTGGTGGTAATGTCTGATTTATGCTGATGAGGGTGATGGTTGTGGTCTTATTCATAATGAATAATGAAAATGATGAATACCATTCATCATTTTACTGCTATTATTGCCAATATTCTTATTATATTCTCCATTCTCTAGCTGTGTTCTCTGTGTTCTTGATGGGTCTCAGTGCCCTATACCCAGGGTCTGACTCTTCCTGCTGGAGTTAGAACTATGCTAACTCCCAACCCAAACAGTTAGATGGACGCTGAGCTTATTTTACACAAGTAACCTTATTGTTACTATGCTAACTAGTAGTAGCAGGCATCCAACAGTCTCAGGAGACTATGGAGTTGCTCTCTGGCTAACTAAGTTATACATAAAATAATCAACCAATTAACCGCCGCTTAAATGAGTTAGGTTCTTGTTCCACCATCTATTTTATTTTCCTTTGTAAATAGGTAATATCTTGTTTGATTAATTACAAAGGAATAAATTGTATACTGTATTTAATATACAATACACAAGATAAGTCTGACCCAAAGCCGGACGGGAGGGGGGGGGGGGAAGGAATGGTGCCCTAATCACTTGTGGACGGTTGGGGATTGAACGCCGACCTGCATGAAGCGAGACCGTCGCTCTACCGACCAGCCCAAGTGGTTGGCATACCCTTAACCCTTGCTATCAACACTTGCATATCAGAGAACAGACCGAGGACATGCAAGAATAAATCTTGCATGACCTATGACCCCGCAAGCACAACTAGGTAAGTACAACTAGGTAAGTACACACTATGGTGTCTCCAACAAAAGGTTCTGATCAGCCTCTGGAGGATTCGTAGTCCTGAGGTCCCGGGTTCGATCCCCGGTGGAGGCGGAGACAAATGGGTAAAAGTTTCTTTCACCGTGATGCCGCTGTTATTTAGCAGTAAATAGGTACCTGGGAGTTAGACAGCTGCTACGGGCTGTTTCCTGGGGGGGGGTAACAAACAGGAGGAGAAGGACCGGGCCGCGGGGACGCTAAGCCCTGAAATCATCTCGAGATAACCTCAAGGACTAAGTAAACTCTCAATGTATATACAGCGAGACACGACGTGTATATATAATGACAAGACAGGCTTCTGCGTCACCCCCAGCCGTCACCCGTCACTCCAGCTGTCACCTCAGCCGTCACCCGTCACCACAATCGCCCCCAGTCACCCAAGCCGTCCCCCGTCACACCAGTCGTCACCCGTCACCCCAGTCGTCACCCGTCACCCCAGTCGTCACCCCAGCCGTCACCCGTCACCCCAGCCGTCACCTCAGCCGTCACCTCAGCCGTCCCCCGTCACACCAGTCGTCACCCGTCACCCCAGTCGTCACCCCAGCCGTCACCTCAGCCGTCCCCCGTCACCCCAGTCGTCACCCGTCACCTCAGCCGTCTAGGGGGAGTTGGCCCATGACCACACTTACGTCTCGGCCAGATAAACATTCCAAGGAAGTGGCGCCAGTGCTTTCTTGCCATGTTTATCTTTGTTTTGTGAGTGTTTATCTGTGTTTTGTGTTTTCCTGGTGTCCGGTTTGTGTTGATTTAGTTCTGTTCGGCGGTAGCGGAATGGTCTACGTTTAGGAAGATTTTTATTACTGATGACAATCGATTCGAAACGCGAATGAAACATGTGTTCTATTTATGTCTGTCTGGAGAGGACAGTTTAACGTCTGTCTGCCTGACAGTATGTCTGTCTGTCTGTCTCTCATCCTATTATCCCCATCCATTTTTTAGTTCATTTCAGGACGATATCACTTTTCCAAATTTCTTTAGCAAGCATGAATTGGGAGTGGCGCTGCCCAATAAACTCGCCCCTCGGGGCAAAATTAAAAAAAAAATTGGGAGTGATAGCACACGAAATGAGGTCAATGGGAATAACTGGTAAAGTAGGATTGCCTGGATACTCCACCTGGATACTCCACCTGGATACTCCACCTGGATTGGTGGATACTCAATTTTCTGTTGAACAAAACACAAAGAGTAACAGTCAACCATATCAAATCGAGTCCAGGCGCGGTTAAAAGCTCTGTATCTCAGGGTACAGTCCTTGCACCGCTGCTTTTCCTTACTCTCATATTAGGTATAGACAAAAATACAAGTCACAGCTTCGTATCATTCTTTGCAGATGTCACGAAAATCAGCATGAAAATTACTTCTGCCGAAGACATCGAAAACCTACAAGCAGATATTAATAAAGTTCTCGATTGAGCAGAAGAAAATAACATGATGCTTAGCAGCGATAAATTCCAGGTACTCAGATACGGTAAAAATGAGGACATTAAACATAATACTGGGTACAAAACACAATCAGATTTGCCCATAGTAGGAAAGCAGCTTGTCAAGGATTTGGGAATAATGATGTCTGACGACCTAACGTTATGGGAGCATAACCAAGTAAATTTGCGTCAACCAGAAAAATGATAGGATGAATTACGAGAACTTTCAAAATCCAGGGATCCCATCACAATGATTGTACTATTCAAATCACTTGTACTGTCCCGTCTTGAGTACTGCTCAGTACTCACTTCCCCCTTCAGAGCAGGAGAGATTGCTGAAATAGAGGGAGTTCAGAGATCATATACGACATACATAGACGCAATAAAGCACCTAAATTATTGGGATCAGTCTCAAAGCTCTCCAAATGTACTTGCTAGAAAGGAGACGAGAGATACCAAATAATATACACGTGGAAAATACTGGAGGGCCAGGTCCCAAATCTGCACAGTAAAATAACATACTGGAGTGAACGATATGGAAGAAAATGCAGAATAGAACGAGTGAAGAGCAGAGGTTCCATAGGCACAATCAGAGAACACTGTATAAACATCAGAGGTCCGCGGTTGTTCAACATACTACCAGCGAGCATAAGAAATATTGCCGGAACAACCGTGGACATCTTCAAGAGAAAACTAGATAGTTTTCTTCAAGAAGTACCGGACCAACCGGGCTGTGATGGGTATGTGGGCCTGCGGGCCGCTCCAAGCAACAGCCTGGTGGACCAAACTCTCACAAGTCAAGCCTGGCCTCGGGCCGGACTTGGGGAGTAGAAGAACTCCCAGAACCCCATCAACCAGGCACCTAGAGAGACTGACCCGCAGGTCTGTCGTGACAGACCGACAGTAACACGGAAACATGTAAGTCAGACCGCTATATTAATACATAGAGATAACTAAACAAAACTTCTGGTTGCAATTCTTTTGACCATGTCGTAGCTCAGTCGATTAAGGCAGCGTCTGGGATGCTCTCGGACGTAGGTTCGAATCCTCGTCACGGCCCTTGTGGATTTGTTCAACTAAACAGAACTTTAATGATCAATCAACTTGTTGTCACTGAAGGAGAGTATATAACGTACTCACAATAAGTCGTTCAAGGCTTCGTCTCCCACACCTGCAAGCTTACCTGAAGAGAGAAACAAACAAACAAACAATTAACAAATAAAACACAACACAGCTTAAATATGACACACTTCCCACTACTGTAAATATAACACACTTCCCACTACTGTAAATATAACACACTTCTCACTTCTGTAAATATAACACACTTCCCACTTCTGTAAATATGACACTTCCCACTTCTGTAAATATGACACACTTCCCACTTCTGTAAATATGACACACTTCCCACTACTGTAAATATGACACACTTCTCACTTCTGTAAATATGACACACTTCCCACTTCTGTAAATATGACACACTTCCCACTTCTGTAAATATAACACACTTCCCACTTCTGTAAATATGACACACTTCCCACTACTGTAAATATGACACACTTCTCACTTCTGTAAATATGACACACTTCCCACTTCTGTAAATATAACACACTTCCCACTTCTGTAAATATGACACACTTCCCACTTCTGTAAATATGACACACTTCCCACTTCTGTAAATATGACACACTTCTCACTTCTATAAATATGACACACTTCCCACTTCTGTAAATATGACACACTTCTCACTTC